AGCTGCATGAATTTCCCCAGGGATTTATATCTTCATTCAACATTTATTGACCCAGAATTAGGCAGTGTAGATTTACAGCTTTAAAAGTTTATAGCAGAGTTAGGAGAGCTTGGAGTTATGATGTTCTCTTGAAGGTAACTGGTAGGAAAGGATAGGACTGATGACAAGGTTAGGAGACAGAGGTGAGGCAGAGTTAGCAGTAAGCAAAGATTCTTGAAGTTTCTTCCACTAGTCACCAAATACCCAAGGCATGACATCATAGCTCAGGGCAGGCATGGTGCATAGTTGGGGGTAGTCATAGCTTGTCTGGATCCTGTTTGTTGCTCCTACCATTCATCAAAAGCTGAGATGAGCTACAAAGCCTATGAATTCAGGACTCCTTTCTTAGACTGGGATAAATTTTTCTCAGATTCCCAATAGGCTATCACAGATAAGGGACAACTTTCCATACCAGCCAGGGACAAGAAAACTAGAAGAGACAGCATATATTGCCTGATGTCTCTGTTGGGCTTGTAGCTTGCACAGTAGTTAATGTTGGAAACCAGAATTGGTGAGAGAAATGGGACTTCATCCCTGGGAATTTATGAGGCAAGGAATAAAGTCAGAAAGAGATAGTGGTTAGGAGAAAAGCAAAGAAACAATGTGAAGAGGAAAAGGGAGGAATGATAAATTTCACTCAGGGCTTGGTGAGAAAGAATTATATTAGTTAGTGATTGTTGCACAACGAATTGCCACAAAACTTAGCAGCTTAAAACATAGCACATTTATTATTTCACAGTTTTTGTTGGTAGGGAATCTAGGCACAGCTTAGCTGGGTTCTCTTGCTTTGGGGTTTCACTCAAGCCTGCAATCAGGGTGTCAGCCAGGGCTGAGGTCTCACCTGAAGGCTGGACAGAGGAAGGATCTGCTTTCAAGCTCTTCTGGTTGTCATACAAATCAATTCTTTGAAGACTGTTTGACCGAGGGCCTCAGTTTCCAGCTGGCTGCTGTGTGGGGGCACCTGCAATTCCTGACACATGGGCTTCTCTGACACGTGAGCTTGCTACATTAAAGTGTAAGCCAAGAAGGCAACTGAAAGTCAGCTAGCAAAACAGAAGTCACAGACCTATGATCTAATCACGGACGTGTCATCTCATCGTCTTTGATGGATACTATTGGTCAGAAGCAAGTCACCTGGCCAGTCCAGACTCACTCAAGGGGAGGGGATTACCCAAGGGTGTGAACACCAGGAGGTAGAGATGATGTGGGACTGTCTTAGATGTTGACACAGCTTGGACCTCAATAGCATGGAGTAGTCAGTAGAGAAGAGGAAGATGATGGATGTTGAGGCTGGTGCAGAACTTCTCACAGATGCAGGATTGAGGATGGAAGGGTGATTTGGGGACGGGATTGGACTATGCATTTCAAAACAATGTTCTCCAGGTTTTATTGATCATGTACTCTTGTCAGTTAAACAAAAACCATGAGCAGCTCTGCAAGATGTGTGTCAGTGTACATCAATATACACATATAGAATGATACATACATATATATGGCACAGACATATAAATGATGACACATGCACAAAAGCATACATACAGTTAGACATATTTTCTGTGAGATGTCATACTAATATATATGATAAAATGCACATGAAATATAAATTTAAAAAGGGCCAAGTAAAGTAATATAAGTAGAAAATATAATAACTTTCCCCTCATCCCAGTGGATTTTCTTGTGCAACCATGTTGCCATGTGTTGGTCAAGGACACAGTTTTCAAGGATGTAAAAAGCTCAGGCAACTGTTGGCGAGTGAATCTCATCCACAAATACCCTCACAGACACACCCAGAAAGTGTCTGGTCAAATATCTGGGCACCCTATGGCCCAGCCAAGTTGACACATAAAATTAACTACTATATGACTTCTGTCTTTAAGGCTCTCAACAACTTTTTGAACAAGGCTCTGGGACAATATGCAATTTTAACACGAGTAAATTAGCAGCAAGTGGAAAAGCCAGGATCCAAATTCAAATTTTCCAGGTTCAATGTTCTTTTCTCTCAAATCCTTGGCCATTAAAGGATTTACTTACTGCAATAAATCAGAAATTAACAGTCTACTTTGAACAATAAGCTACAGATCAGAGGTTGGTGAAATATAGCCCCAGCCTGCTTTAGTAAATAAAACTTTATTGGAACAGCCATGCCACTTGTTTGCATATTGTCTACAGCTGCTTTTATACTATCCTGGTAGAGTTGAGCCGTTGCGACAGAGACCATATGGTCCAGAAAGCCAAAAACGTTCAGGATATCGCCATTCCTGGGAAAAGTTTGCTGACGCCTGCTATAGATCGTCATGATCTTTGTCTAAAGAGGCATGCTCGCTTCCTTCTGTGTGTTGGAATTTAGGTCGCATTAGGCAGCCGTTTTTATCAGTGAGAGAACACAAAGGCAGAAAGGGAGACCAGGGTGTTAATTAATGCATTTGCGCCTTTTTGCATGCCATGTGTTTGAACGTCTTGTTTAATCTTCCCAGAGTCCTAGGACATAGGTTTTATTATCTCTGTTTACTAGACAGGGAAGCAGAGGCTCAGTGAAGACGGTAATTTGCTCAAGGTCATGAGGCTAAATAAGTGGCGCAGATGGGAATCAAATCCAGGACTTAACGACTCCGAAGCCCACGTTCATGCCCAGCTGGAAATGAGTGGAGTGGGAGCTCAGAAGAGCCAGCGGGGACAGAAATCAGACGTGTCCGGGGAGCTTCAGTTGTTGGTGCAGGGATGTTTGGCCAGCTGAATTTCCAGGAAACTCTCATTTTCACCCTGATGCTTTTCAAATGGATGCCTTGAGAGTTTGTTTAAAACCATTTTCTTGTCTTCTTTTGAATTTGCTTGACATTTAAAATTTTCTCCTGTCAGTCCTGGCCGCATTTAAAATGTAGCGCCAGGCAAGCTTGTCATGCAGACAGCCTGGAGACAATATTTGCGGTAAACAGCTCCCTGGCATCGTTAATGTCTCCATTTCATACTTTTATTGCTTTTCTGGCGTGCTCATCCGTGTCTTTGCCAGCTCAGGGATGAGACTGCGTCTCCTGTGTGACCTTCCCAGATCAGTGTGGTCCTTACGATGGGGACCAGCCTGCTGCCAACAACACTGTATCTCACACAATCCACGTCTTGTTTCTAAGTCAGAGGTTGCAAAGGGGTTTACATTATTGCGCTTGAAACTGCCTAGAACAAAATGGTGACCACGCTGGTTTAGATCTACATCCTCAGCTAAGACAAGAAAAAAAGAAAAGAAATAATAAAAAAAAAATCCTAGAGCCCAAGTATCAATGGTGCAGACAGAAAGAAGAGAATAGTTTTCCATGCCATCTGTTTTTGAGACAGATTGCAGACTCAAGTCTGATTTTCCAATCTAATTTTCCAGATGCAAGTTACTCACGTCTTCCCGTGGCAACGTGACAAGGGCTAGAAGTTGCACAGACAACCAGAAAACATGGCAGAGAAGCCCATTTGGTGGCGGGTCCCTCCACTTCCTCCCAGTGCTGGTCCTCTGAGGGAAGGGGGTGCGTCTCAGCTGCCCCTCAGGGACTGTCTCGGGGACTGTCGCACAGACATGTCAGGTCCGGTGGACCATCCATGGTGGAGAGTCAGGTGTGGATCTCACGTTAAGTGCTCTTACCGCACAAAAAGGGGACACAAGGAAATTTTGGAGGTGATTGGGCTAATGGCTTTGCAGGTGTGTGTATATGTCCCAATTCATCAAATTGTATACATAAAATATGTAGTTTTTTATATAGCAATGATACCTCATTAAAGCTGTTAGAAAAGTTGTTTAAAAACCCCAAAGTTATAGATATAACATTTTTTTAGGAAACCAGTCTCTCTAATAAAATAAATTTAACAAACAAACAAAACCCAACGACACTGTAGTAAGAGCCGGGAAGCTGAGGCCCTCCTTGGGATTTGCAAAGAGACTCACTGTGTGTTTTTTTATACTGGCTGATGTTGCTGGAAGATGGGAACGGGCTCGGTTTTGACCCTAAAGTAACTATTTTAAAGCAGAGGCAAAACTAATGACCACCTACCTGCACCACATTAAAAAAAAAAAAGAGGGAGGAGAAGAACTTTTTAATGCTCTGTTATACACTTAAAATTTTTTTTTCATTCCAGCATATTATGGGGATACCAATGTTTAGGTTACATTTTGCCCCACCTGAGTCAGAGCTTCAAGCATGTCCAATCCCCAGACAGTGCGGACCACAGCCATTAGGTGTGAATATACCCATCCCCTCCTCCCTGTCCCCTGCCCACTCCTGCCATCTGCCTGATGAATGTTACTACTATATGTGCACTTAAGTGTCGGTCAGTTAATACCAATTTGATGGTGAGTAGGGTTAGTGTATAAAACAGTTGCAATAATGCCTATTGCTACGTTGAAGGAGAGAAAAAACAAGACAGAACTGAATACTGTCAATCTGCATCACATGGATGATGAAAGCCTCTCATGAGAGCAGCTCCTGCCCCGGTTGTCACGGGCTCAGCCAATGAAGGGCTTGCAGCCTTCTACTTCTACTACTGAAATGGAGCAATTTTTGTTTGTGTTCTCTGGGTATAGACTGTGATTTTGCCATTTCTCATCTTCTAGATTCAGTGAGGGGTGATTGTAACTGGAGGCAGGAGTGGGGCAGCCAGTTCCCTTTCCTTCTAGAGGGCTCTCTGCAGGCCACGTCCCGCAGTTCCTGTTCATATCAGGGTGACTTAGACAAGGATTACAATAGATTCTGAGGAATGTCCCGAGCATGGCCATAGTTCACTTCTCTGTTATGATGGACTTGGGTTCCAGAGGGCAGACTCTTAAGGAAACAACGCTGAAATCACTATAGTTTTGGAGATTACTGTGATGTCTCTCAAAAGCTCATGGTGTGGCATCAATCAGCTGATATGGTCAGATGACAGTTTGCTGTGTGGGTCATCTTGGTGACTTTCCCCGAGTCAGGCAACAGGATGCTCCTAGGACGGCAGGAGCCCGCAGTGACAGGTGCATGCCATACCCAGCCACAGGAGCACCATCCAATCACCTTCAGGACAGCCAGGCTCTCTGATAGGCTCACCTCGTGACATTCCATCCAGTCAATGGCCACGTGGCCCGTGACGTTGGGAAGCCCAGCGCGGGAAAACGGGTCCCCAACGGCCCCAAGCCTCCATCTTCGCTTCTCCAGAGCCCCGACTGCTGTCTCCGCCATGGCCGAGCCCTCGTCCGAGCTGTCCTCTGAGGCCTGCCCCGGCGCCCAGGCACCTGAAGAGGCTGAATCGGCCCAGGCACCTGAAGAGGCTGAATCGGCCCAGGCACCTGAAGAGGCTGAATCGGCCCAGGCACCTGAAGAGGCCGAATCGGCCCAGGCACCTGAAGAGGCTGAATCGGCCCAGGCACCTGAAGAGGCCGAATCGGCCCAGGCACCTGAAGAGGCTGAATCGGCCACGACGACCCAGAAGCAGAAGCAGCCGAGGCGTCGCAGCCGCCGCTCCAGCCGTGACCGCGACAGCTTCGCCACCTACTTCCCCAGGGTCCTGAAGCTGGTGCACGACGACCTCCGCCTGTCCCCTGCGGCCGTGAGGGTGATGGATTCGTTCGTCCACGACATCTTCGAGCGCATCGCCGAGGAGGCCGGCCGGCTGGCGCGCTACACCGAGCGCTCGACCATCACCGCCAGAGAGGTGCAGACGGCCGTGCGCCTCACGCTGCCCGGGGAGATGGGCAAGTTCGCCGTGTCCGCGGGCAACAAGGCCGTGCTCAGATACACGCGCAGCAAGTACGCCGCCCCCGCCCCGCCGGAGCAGCGGCCCCCAAAGGCTCTCGTCAGAGCCACCCCGGACGGCCCGGAGCAGCAGTAGCCGGCGCGGCCCGCACCCCGTGCTCCTGGCAGTCGGCGCCAGGCCGCTTCGGGGCCAAGTGTTCAGTTCAGAGACTTGTTTGGTTCAAAAGTTTATTTTCCAGCCCTCAGATTCTTCCTGTCTTTGATCTGCCCTCGTTTTGAGGCTTTCCACTCAGTTGTGTCATTCCCTCAATAAATTGTTCATTTTGAGAATTTCTGTTTGATTTTTCTTTAATATTTCAATTTCTTGTTCCTCTGGAGAGGCACTCTGGTGCCTCAGCTGGTGGGTGGGGCCCTGGGATGTCCAGGTGTGTCCTTATTCTCCACCTCAGTGGGGACAGGTGGGGGAGTGAGGCTGGGCGGAGCTGGGATGGGTGAGCCTGCCCTCAGGCTCCACAAATGCCAGGTGCTTCTGTGCAAAGCTGCCAGGGAGGGGCTGAAATGGCCCCACTCAGCTGAAAAGTCTGTGTGTGGGGGTGGGGCTGCAGTCTGGAGCAGGCCTGGCTCCTTTCCACCCTTCCCTATTCTGTGGCTTCTCCTGGGTCTCTCCCAAGAGGTAGGACCTCAAGCCAAGGAATCTCCCCTGGCTGTGATGGCATGTGTCCAGTGCCATCCTGCCCACATGTGATTGGATTATCCAGCGGTACTTCGTGTGTGATAGAGCAGCTTATAGAGAAAGTGCACACACAGACAGCGAAGTCACGAATATCCTAAGCAAACTTTTCTTCAACATATCCCATCTTGGAGATTCATTTAAACATGGAACTGAGCACATACACACAGGACAGAAAGAGTTAAACTAGAGTTAAAAAAATAATTTGTGTTTCAAGCTCCCTAGACTCCGACATTAATATCTTAATTCGCTCAGACTTTTCTTTCTTTTTTTTCTTAATGTTTCTTTTTCTTTATTTCAGCATATTATGGGGGTACAAATGTTTAGGTTATGTATGTTGCCCTTGCCCCACCTGAGTCAGAGCTTCAAGCGTGTCCATCCCCTAGACGGTGCGCACCGCACCCATTATGTGTGTATATACCCATCCCCTCCCCTCCCACCTGCCTGACACCTGATGAATGTTATTACTATATGTGCACTTTTAAAGAGAGCTAAGAGTATAACAGGAGAAAAGAAAATACATAGACCTGTTTCTTCCAGCCACCCCAAACCATTGGCTAGCTCCCAGCAGCGCTTGGGAAGGGAGTCCCAACTTGTGGCTTTGCCTCTGTACATTGTCTCCGTCACAGGTTGGTTCCTCCTAAAGCTACCCAGACCTCTCTCCTCTGCCTTCAGGAAGGAAGGCTAAATGTCATTCAGCAAGGGAGACCGTGTTAGAAAGGAAAAGTAAGCATGAATCCAAGTAGTCTGCACCAAGAAAATGCTATGGCATTAGAAGTCCAGTGGTGGAGGATTCTTGGATCCATTCACTTCACCGTTTGCTTGCTGGCAAGGTTAACAGGAGCAAGGAAAGGCTTTGAAGTATGTTGCTCTGAGAGGAGTAATGTGGAATTTGGAGACTTTGAGAGATAGAGTGAGAGACCTCTACTAATATGCCTAAATACACATTCCAAATGGATATTTTTCTGGGGAAGACCCTTTGCCATTGGGCGAAAACAAATTCGAGGCACTATGGTTGTGAATAAGGGTAAGAAGCTATCGGTCAAGATACCCATAGTCAATATTTAGAGCTAACCACAGAGATTTGCAAAATTTCAAATCCTCAAAGGTTTGGAAGAGACAGGAGTAATTTGTAAGACAGTACAATTATGCAGTTCATGATTGAAAAAGCCAGAGGATCACAGAAATGTATAATAGACTATCTATTATTAAATAAGACAATAGAAAAGAAGAACTCTTTGACATTGGCAGTGTCACTAAATAAATAATTTCATTGACATATATGATGGCTATACATTCCAATGGATAAGCATTTTCAGACCTGGGTTGCTTTCATTCCACAAGGGGCACACAATACCTTTGCCCACCTTGTACAGGGTTATGTCAAGAGACAAGTGCACATAACTCAGGTGGACAAGATATAGGATCTATTAGGTTCTCCCTTAGACATTCATGTAGTCCCTTATATTGACAATATCCTCATTAAAATAAAATTAATCAGAAATCAAAAACAATTTTGGCTCACACAATTCAGGGACAAAAACAGAAATGGAATATTTTATGGAAATGGTAAAAGGAACTCATAACTGGTTACAATACATTAAGTCTAATTTGGAGCACTGAGACAATGCACATTGTAAAAGGAATTTAGGGAAAAATGGTAAAGTTAATGGTCTTCCCTCCACTTTGCCCCAAAAAGGAAACAAGAGCAGCTCTTGGCAGGATGATTTGGTCAGTAGATGTCTTCCCTCTGTATGGGTGTGCTCTTCATACCAATTAAAAAACATCTTGAGGAAACAAGAATTTCATTTGCGGTCCATATGAGTTATGAATAGCTGTGTAGCAGTGCACCCTTAGTGTTTAGCTCTCACTTCAATTTACCTTTGCAGTGTCAGCCAATAGGTCTTTGCATCTTGAAGTAGGTGGATGGTGTCTTCAAGGTTGGAAAGGATTAGTCTCAAGTTGTGGGGTTTTGGCTCAAATTCCTGCGGCTCTAGGCAAACTCTGCCACCTTAGAAAAACAATGAGTATCTGAAGCAAAGGCCTAGAGGGATGGGTGTTGCAACTTCATAGAAGGAGCATCTAGCTGGGAGGGGTCTGATCAAATCCAGCACAGTCTGGAAGGCTGGGTCACTTTGGTGTTTGTCTTTTGAATTTGCTTCAGTGTTTTTTGTTTTCATTGTTTTGTTTTTGCCATAGAGAGGATTCAGCTTTATGTAGGTAAAGTCAATAATTTTTGTTTTCTTTTAAGTCGTCTTGATATTACAACAGAGTAAAAAAGTTCCAAAGACATTCAGTCATGTTTTCTTTTAGTATTTTTATGGCTTACATTTTTTAGATAAACTTTTGATCCATTTGGAATCCATCCTGTGTAAAGTATAGTGTGAAGTGTAGATCCAATACCTCATGGCTAACGAGTGTCCTGACACTGTTTATGGAAGAGTTCATTTTTCCCTATTAATCTGAGACACACTAAATCTTCTTACATATCTGGACTTTCTATTTAATTCCATTATTCCGTCTCTTGATTAAACAGTACAACTTTGTTTTCATTTCTGAGGCTTCATAACGTGTTTGAATATCTGATAGGGCCTTGAACTCTTTGTTTTTCTGCTTTTAAGTTTTACTTAATTTATCCAGATATTAAAATTTAAGTGCATAGGACTAAAAATATCAAACTCTTAATCTTCTTTTTATTTCCTCTAAATGTATGATTATCCTCATTATCCTTTTTTTTTTTTTTTTTTTTTTAGACAGAGTCTCACTTTGTTGCCCAGGCTAGAGTGAGTGCCGTGGCGTCAGCCTAGCTCACAGCAACCTCACACTCCTGGGCTCAGCAATCTTTCTGCCTCAGCCTCCCAAGTAGCTGGGACTACAGGCATTCGCCACCATGCCCGGCTAATTTTTTGTATATATATATTTTTAGTTGACCAATTAATTTCTTTCTATTTTTGGTAAAGACGGGGTCTCGCTCAGGCTGGTTTCGAACTCCTGACCTTGAGCAATCCGCCCGTCTCGGCCTCCCAAAGTGCTAGGATTACAGGCGTGAGCCACCGCGCCCGGCCTTCTCATTATCCTTTTTTATATCAATATATATTTTCCATTGAACATGAGATAAGTAGTTTGTCTTTTTAAATGTTTATTTTTTTTAATTAGCTTTGAATTTCTATATCAGTTGTGTTGTGTTTCCAACTCATTTGCTTCTACTCTTGCCTTTAGCAGTTCCTCCTGATTTCCTTTGGCTTTTTTTGTTATTCTCTTTCTGAGTGTTTGAAACTGATGTTTAAATTATTTCTTTTCATTCTTTCTGAACAATAAATATTTAAAAGGAATAAATATTTGAGACTATAAATTTTCCTTTAGCATCACTTTAGGTGTATCTCATAGGGCCTGATAAATAGTGGTTTAATTATCATTGTTTTCTAGAAGTTCTGCATTTTCATTTTGAATTTCCCTGTGACCAAAGAGTTAAAAGTTATTTTAAAATTTTGAGTCCCCAAAGCCCCATTTTTATTTTTGTTATTCTGATTTTATTTTCCTTCTGGCCATAGAATGTTTTCTGTATTATTTCTATTTTTAAAAATAAATCGATATTTTATTTATAGCCCAATATATGCTCATTTTTGTGACTGTCCCACAGGCAGTTGAAAAGACAGTGTTTTCCATTTTTAGGTTGCCAAGTTTGATGTCCTTCATTCAGGCACCTTTTAATAGTGTTAATGAGGTATTTAAAAGTATATACTATATAAATATTGCTCTTTCATGGGCTGGGTGAAATAAATCATTATCTCTGACTCCTAGAATATTTTGTTTCCTGTAATTTCTGTTTTATGAAGATTACTTATTTGGCATATTGACATTTACAATTATTAAATATTACACAAGAACTGGAACATTGCGTATTCTACAGTGCCCTTCTTTGTTCTCTGTATGCCATCTTGCCAAATTCCACTCCCTTTCCTATTCCAGATGGTAGATTCTGCTTTCTTTTTGTTGGCACGCATCTGGCATCTTGACCATTCTTTCATTTTCAACCTTTGTGAAGCACATCGATTATGTGTGTGGCTGTCAGCAGCGGGGCGCTGTGAGCCAGGGTCCTGCCTGTCGATGCACCATACCCCCTGGCCTGCAGCCCCTGTGTTGACCCTTCTGGTTGATTCTGGGCTGGCCAAGGACTTGCTTTTGTCTTATAGAATGCAGGTGGAAATGACGCTGCAAGACTGCCAAGGTCGGATGCTAAGAAGTCTGCAGCTTGCCCCTGGATCCCTCCACACATCCACTCTGGGGCATCCCACTGCTGCACAGGCAGACATAATATTCTGCGACGCCATGTTGTGAGGAATCCCAGCTGTGCCCGTGGCGGACTGCCTGGAGAGAAGGGAAATCTGACCAACCCGTAGTGCTACAGCCTCCCCCATGAGACAGCAGACGTCAGGGGAAAGAAACCACCCTGGAGGTTCAACCCAGCTGGGCCTGCAGGCAACCCCAGCTCCAGCTGCAGTTTCATTGCAACCTCCTGCGAGCCCCCAAGACCTTTCCAGCAAAGCCCGTCGGCCGGAAAATAATAACAAATTATTGTTTTAAGCCACTGAGTGTA